TTTTTATAGATTCATTTGTATACATGCATGTGTATATATATATATATATACATGCATGTATCTCGTGCAGTGCTCCCCCATTTGCTGCTTGCTGGATTCAAGTTCGGCTTGTAGACACTTGTGCTGCTCGAACAAGTTGAATCAATGGTCTGCATGATGATTTCCCTGACCACCAAGCACATTCTCGTGTTGCTTCCACAACTAGTGACAGATTGACATAGAAACACCAAAATGTCTTTGCAAAACCAGATGTTTGGGTGTCTTGGCAGCTGATTGAACCAACATGGCTCGGCTGTGCAGTAATTCTCCTCGGTTGGTCAGTGGACAGCCAGTGCAGATCACCCTACCAGAACTGATGATCCCCCACGACAAATGTGGCCTCCACAGTTGCGGGTACTTTTGTTTTTGCAGATGGTATGGGATAAACTGGTTGTGAACTTCATGGGGATCACCCTCTAAACTGCTTGGTGGAAGTCAATCAACATGTAGATGTTGTCCGCCAAAGGATTTAGGTACAATTTGCAACTGCGCCCTTGAACACTCAGATACATCGAACTTCAAAACCAAAGCGAGCTCCTTTTCAAGGATCCCCTTCTGGTGTTCCGTGCTACTTTTCGGGGCAACACGCCGGGATCCTTTGTTGTTGGCAAGTTTTTTTTTTTTTTTTTTTTTTTTTTTTTTTTAAATCCCAGCTTGCATAGAGTTTCATTGATGTTAACAAGTGCAGCATTATTTGTCCAGTAGCTTTGCAGCTGGGCAGGGCTTCACATTTATCGACGGCCAGTCAGCTTGATCAGCAGCACGTTTGTACCAAGCCGTGGTGCTGCTGGGATCGCGTAGAAGCGATGATCCAACTCGCTGGCCGCGTGTTGGGCAATTTCTATGGCCGCGTTGGGCAAGTTCTATTCATTCCTTCTTCCGAACAGTGAACAACCTGTAGGCGTCCAAAAGGATCTCGCTCACCTGAGTTTATCTTTGGGCTGGATCGGGATCTTGGCCCATCCAGAGGTTTTCTCTGCCCTTTCGGGAAACCCGTCAAGTCAAACCACAGTGCACGCACAGCGCCCAGGTTCGTGCACGACCATCCCGAGATCTTGCTCTTCCTTGGGCCTGGGACCCAGCGAATATTCGTTTTTTCGGCAGGAGTTCTCCCCCTTCTTGCCGGAGTGGCTCAGGGGAAATCTTGCGTTTGGAAGCTGAAAAGTATTGGGTGTTTAGATGCATTGGGTTTTTATATTGAAAACAAACACAATGCATTTGACAGCTTCTATAAAAACTCGGCGCTCGCAAGCCAGGATTTGCAACTCGAAGCACCTTGGTTGAAGGTAGACTTGGTTCCCCTCCAAAAGGGCGTCGCATTTGTTCCCAAACCATGGAGCGGAAATGAGCAACACCAGCTCGGCCCAGGGGCGAGGTGGAGTGCAATTTGTTTCCATCCCTGCTGAAAGGGCACATCCTGTAATAGAATCAACCAGCGGTTTTTGGTTCAAGCAACTGTCCGTTCTAAATAGAAGCCAGCAACACGCACGCATTACCGGGAGAGAGGCTCCCTACTCGTCCCATACCCATGATGTTTGGTTTGTCCAAATACCCGCAGTCCATCTCCAACAAAAGGCCGCCAAATCAGAGTGTTCCCTCTTGGACCTTGGAGAAATGTCTGTCCCGCCCTTTAAAGTGTAGGTTTCCGCCAGCCTTGCAGTTTGGTTTGTGCCGACTTGGTCCCACTAAAGGAGGCACCTGTCGACCACCCTTCCCAGCTGCTTCTGTGAATCCCTCTCATCCACGGATGGCCTGCACCCAAGCTTGCCTATCCTGGTTTTAAGTTTTTAATCGCTTGCTTACACAAAATGTTGGGCAAGGAAGAAGTGTCAAAAGCCTGGGTTGCTGGATTTGTTGGAATGGTCTTTGGAGAACAACCCAACTGCGAGCTTTCCTGTATTCCAACTTGTTGAAACGGCGCGGCCTTGCTTTTCTGCTCTCCGACTTTTCCATATGACCCGCTCTGTCTACCTTTTGCGCCATGCGCAGCGACAAATCGACCGGTTGAAAAAGTCTGCGGAAGATACTGTATCCAAGAATAACAAATGGGAACGGGATGTCACGACCTTCTCCAATAAACCTGTCACACTGGGTTGGCCGACTGGTCAGCACCCGGATTTTTGACCCACCATTGTTTCAACAACCTCCTTTGGGTCTTCCTTCAAAGAAATTGGAGGGGTTGGTTGACTAGATATCTCTACCAAAGGAAAGGAAGGGATCCCCCAATCAAGCCGGCCCGGCTCCTTGGTCCAGCAAGCCCATCCGGCTCGGGCGCTCGGGCGCTCGGCTCGGGGCGGTGGGGCTTGAGACAGGATCTTTGCCATGACGGCGGCTGTGGGGGCGCTGGCCTGTGTGCTCACTGTGCGCTTGCCGGAGACTCAGTCCCATGGGCAATTTTACTTGTCAACCACGCCCCTGGCCTCTTACACGAGGGGAAAGCACAAGAAGGCTTAGCCGGGTCCCTGAAAATGAGCATTGGGGCAGTTTTGAGGATGTCATTGTCAATTGACTTGGTCTAAGCAACGGTGGTTTCAACACAAGTTGTTGCAACTTGTCCAGATGGTCGTGGAGAACTACCAGTTGTGGGAAGCCTCTCTTTGCGATAGCAGGGCAACCCCTTGAAAGTGTCTGATACTTGACTGCTATTGGGTTGGATCTTTAGACTTTAACTTGTTGTGGAAATCAAAGGGTTTTCCACTAAACCCACAAAAAGTTAAACTTTTTGCAGAGGGGTCAACAGCAACCCAGGATAAGTCAACTGGAAGAATGCTCAGGAACCCCGATGGCCAAAGCTTGGCCCGAGGAACGTGCGGCCTGTGAAAGATGGTTGGTATCTTTGGCTCTTTCCATCTCAATGGGAATCTCCCAAGTGGGATTCCCTGCCAAATAGAGGCAGTTTGTGAAAGTCGTGCAACAAACCGGGCTTCAACCGTCCCGAAGTTCCAAACCTGATCCAGGGGAAGAAAGCCTTCCCGGCGCCCTGGTTGGCGCTGGTTTCATGGAAATGTTTGTTTCCTTAGCCACTATGTTCACTACCTATGACCACCCGAGCAACCATTTCGTAGTGCTCCAAGCACGTAGTTGACCCCCCTTGTTCACTTCCCCAGTTCCAGGACAGTGCTGACTGTTTGTTGAACAAGGGAGATATCATTTTTTGCTTTTTAGCTTACCCACTCCGGAAGTGAGGAATTGCCGCAAGCGTTTTTTGTTTTTTTGGGGGGGTGGCGGGGGAGGGGGTTGAATGATCCACATTTGTTTAGAGACTCGCAGACTTCCGGTAATTGCTGGATTTGCTCAAAACAAAGATGGGTCCACAAGTTCTTAGGCACCACGCAAGCCACTGTGTGATCCCTTCATTTTGAGGAAAGGAAACCGAAAGGAAACCGAAAGGAATATGCATTGTCATTAAGAAAGGTCGAAGTATCTGGACACATGCCTACGTCTTCCCACCAAAACAACATACCGCAGACAGCCCTTGCCGAATCCAAGCGGAGGTTCCAAGAAATTGGGTGGGTCTCGGCGGCTACAAGCATCACTTTGAGGGGTAAACAAGGGTGTCTTTAGGAATACGTTTCCAACACACCGTTGTAGGCATGAGGTTAAGCTTCAAGTAGACCACATGGGAAGCCTCGTTGCAGCCATCTTATCTGATCTCTTTTGATACGTGCTATGCCAAAGACTCTCTGTACGCAACTCAGACGGATATAATTGGCATGTTTGCTTGTCTCGTCGGCAGATGGTTACAGATCTCTTCTCTCACGGATCCCATCTGCCAGGTCCGAGGAAATTTCTCACTCCGCGTCTTGAGGCCTCCAAATTGGTTTTCGTTTCTCCGCGTCTGTGGGTTTTGTTCGGGGACTTTATGGGACAAGATGGGCGTGTCTTTGAGCATAGGTCGCCTTTTGGGAGTTGGTTTCAAGGGACGCTAAAACTTGGTGGCTCCCAGCCATCCCCTTAGCTTTTTAGATCCTTCTAGTGTTTAGTGGTAGTTTCCATTTAACCCACTAAAAGTTAGTCACTTTTAGTGGATCTGAAGGCAGCCCAGGAAAGGGGCGAGACACATCGTGGGCCCTGGCCACGCTCCAGGTTCGGGCCCGCGGTGTTCACGCTGATCATGACCTCCCGGGCCATCTTGAGCCTTCTCTTCTCCGCGCCTTGTTCAACAAAAAGCCGCCAGCGAGCGAGCGTGGAACCAAGGCAGGGGCCGGCTTCCTCGTGGATTCCCTGGAAACACTCCATTTGGGTGCCCACAGAAAGGGACACACCCGTCTGCTCTTTTGTGCCAAAGCTGGGGCAGGCACTTGTTGGAACTCTGGTGACAAGGGGCTTGGTGAATATTCCTGGCCAAATGACCATTGGTAACCATTTTCTAGGGCTGTGGGTCAAAAGCAGGTACCCAAAATGGAACCCTGGAGACGCCCAGGACTTAGACCTGCGTTCCCTGGTGGTTTAATTTTGACCCACACCCATATGGGACAGATTTCATTTTTCGAGTGGTTTTTTGAAGGGTCCTCCCACAAGGACCTTTGGATCAACTCGCTGGTGGCTTTCGGGGCCTCTTGCTCGAGTGTTTCTTTTTGGGGGGGTCACCCGCCCTTTGTGGCGAAACCTTCAAAGCAGCGAAGCTGAGCCTCGTGGTTTGGTGGCAAAACGGCCCTAGGACCCGTGGTGAAGGGAATCAAAGAAGCCGCAGCTCCAAGATGTTCCTGAGCGACCTCACCAGGGTTTTGGGAAAAACTCGCCCATGTTGCTACAACGAATCCCTATTTGGGGTTGCTGAATTCTTGGGCAATTCGTCCAGTTGCAAGGGATTGGCCCAGCCACGTTCTCTGGACCAATGGCAGCGAGTGAGGAACAGCTCATTCCTCGCTGAAATCCTTTGATTTGTGGCTATGGTTTCTCGGCTTGAGCTACCCCTGGATGTTTCTTCACACTCGCCCATCTCACTCCCTGATGGACTCTCAACTTTTGGGAAGAGAACCTTAGTGGGAAGCAAACAACAAGTTCGGACTTTGTCTTCGGGAAGCGAGATTCTCGCGCTTCCGCAAAAGGAGGGCCCTGCCGGTTCTTTTTTTTGTGCCCACGCGCCCATTCGTGCGACGGGTTTCTTTTTTGTTTTCTTCGCCTGAGGTGATCCTGTTCCAGCACAACGTGGCATGGGCGGCCTGGCGTTTGGCGTTGGGGGTTTGGGGTGCAGCTCTGCACCGGGTTTTCCACAGGCTCGGACATTTTACGAGGTGGAACCAGCTAAGTCCTGAGTGGTTGAAGTGGTTGGCGGAGACGAACCCCCAACGAATTTGATGTCCACCAAAAGCAACAGGTGCCTAAGTTTAGCCTTCTGGTGGGTCTAAACATCACCTGTGAGGTGGGTTTCCTTTTGGGTGATGATTGAGGGGAAGTATTGGGAATTCTGTCTAAACCAGCGTTCCTTTGGGGCCAATGAAAACAATCACCCAAATACCCGCTGACTTGAGAGATGTTTGGATGTATCCTTTAACTTTGGTGCATTTTGCTTGGCTGTTAGGACTTTAACTTTTTGCAAACTAATGGGTTTTCCACTAAACCACTAAAAGTTAAACTTTTAGCAGAGCAGAAAGCAACCGAGTTAATATATGTCTGCCTGCTTTGGTCAAGTTACTCAAGGGGTCTCTCAGTCCCGTGCCATGCCCGCCTTACACCCCGCCTTACACCCAATCTTTACCCTGGTTCCCCCCTGCGACTTGGGAAGGCGTTGACTCCTCACCGGAAGTGCAAATCCCAAGCCCAAGCTTTTGCAATGAGGTGAAGCAGACTTGTTCCAACCCCGAGAGCCCTGCCAGTTCCAGAACATCTCCCAGCGAAGCGGATTCCTTGGAAGAAACTGAAGGTTGGGCCGTCCGCTGCCAGAACCGGGCGATCAGAACCGGGCCCGGGCCGGCTTCAATCGCTTGATCCAAAATGATCCGACAATCCATGTAAGAAATAGCAAGTCATGATGATCCCATGCAAGTCTGTATCAGTAGAAGTATCAACCAGCAAACGAGCACGTTGGTTTCCAAAGAGCCAGAATCACGTTGAAGGTTCGACCCTCCCGAAAAAGGGTTTCACAGTTTTTCAGGTTCGATTCTCGTCCCTCAAATTGTCCAACCACATCCCCAAGACTTCTGGGGTTGCAGTCAGAAACTGGGGGTGACTTCCCTTTAACCTACCGCAGAAAACCACCACATCGCCCTCCACAGCCCTTTGGGGGGTGACTTTGATACCGGTAGAAGAAAGGGGCCAGCACGACTAATGTTGACCACATATCAATCAACCCCGGTTTAGTAATAGGGGTGCTTTGGGATTAATTTGGAATCAGACCACTTTTGGGGCCAAAACCCCCCCCAAGTCTCTTAATAAGCTGGTTGGTTGATCTTTTTATGGGGTCAGCGAGGAAGTCAGCTGGGGGTGACTTCCCTTGAACCTACCGCAGATAACCCCCGCATCGCGGCTTAATGGCTTAGTGGGGCTGGAATCCGCGAGCGAGGAAGAGTGCCTCTGCCTGGTGGTGGTCTGTATGGTCACCTTGCTGTCCTCCACGCGCCGCGTGGCCGCCTCCCGGCATCGTTTTGGACGCCGAGCTCGCGCCAAGCGGGTGCTCGGCGGGTTTGGAGGGGCCCGATGTTCGGTGGGCCTTTTTTGGAGGACGCACCAAAATGGTGAGTTTGTGTTTTTCCTGAAAACAACAGTTTTCTCTTCGAAAGCAACAAAAGAGGGTAGCCCTAGGCAAAAAGAAAGACACTCCCCCTATGTTGGGCTGAGTTGGAGAAGGGCTTGGAGTTCATTCGGTCGAAATGGACTGGAGGAAGGAGTTCAGCGGCAAGCCGAAGCGAATTCATGGCCCATTCGGCGACCATCCAGGTCCCCCAGTAGTGCCCTTTTACCAACTGTTTTTGGGGGAAGGCTCCCCTACTAAAATAGACTACAGAAAAGGGTACCCTTATTCCAAGCTCTCTACTGGAGGACCTAGCCAAGCTCTCTACTGGAGGACCTAGCCATAAGTGCCACCTTGCAGAAGGAGCATACCTTTGAGCTGGTAGTGCTCTCCGGAAGTACCGTCATGGTTTTATTTCCCCTTTTGGGAGCACTCCATTACTGGGGGTTGCCGTCTTCCTCTTTAAGGCAGGGCCACAGGGATGGAAGATTGTCGACCGACGGTTTATGCAGAGAGCGCGCAGGGCTCTTCCCGAGCCCCGGTTTGTTTGTTTACCCATTGTGGGGATGTGGCCTAGAGCCGTTGTCGACTGACGTGTTCCAAAGGGGCTGTCTTCATGGATGTTCTGTGATACCAAGGGTTTTGAGTGAGAATGCAATTATATCAGCAGAAGGAAGGATCCAGGTTTGATTTCGGGATTTCCCACAGAAGGAAGGGTCCAGGTTTCGAACCCACCAAGGCTCAGCTGCGGCAACTGGAGCAGAGCTAGCTGGAAAAGCGAAGCGGCCTAGCAAATCGCTTTTCTGGCATTCGAGAGGTGATGCGCTTCCAAGTTCGAAAGGGAAGCCGGTTTTGGGAATCAACTAGAAGGGGTCCCTTATTCTCAGAGTCACCCATGTGTTTATGCGTGCTCACCCCTGTGTTTGTGTGTGTGTGTTGCTTGTGTGAGTTTTTTGCGGATGCCCTTCAGGTAGGTTGAAAGTCGGGGCTCCAAAATGTTGATTTTGTGGACACCCAGTCTTGAGCTTGTACTTCCGGCTTTGGGCGTGGCTCGAAGCACTGCGGGTTTTTTTCTGGGTCTCTGCTCCAGCCACAAGGCAGGAATCGGAGAGGAGAGGGTCAGTCAGGTTAGCAATGTTGAATTCGGATTACCCTCCCTCCAACAAACATAGCACCTGCAAGGTACCTGGTCCCCTGGAGGGTGCCTAGAAGATGGTTTTCCTTTTGCGGGTACCCTGAGTTGCCACGTTAATCTGGAGTAGCCTGCTCGGTTCTTCTAGACTCATGATCTGCTTTGAAAGCTTTGACTAGGGTTCGAATTTGATCGATAGCGTGAAGTTAGATTACCTTGTTTTTCCAGCTCCAATTTTCCGGCGGAGGCTTTGGAGCAACTGGATGTTTGAATTTGGCCTTGTGTCTTTTGTCGCGGATACCCTAAGGGGTTGGGCTTTTTTCAGAGCCAACAGGAAACCACCCAAGTAGGTTCCCCCATTTTGAGACGACCCCCCCTAATTCTGGTGGGATGGGAGATTGAAGCGAACTATCCAAACGTGATTCGGTAAGTCCAATGCCTCTGATTTGCGGGAATTCAACCCGAGGTTGGGGGCGTTGTTTGCAGACATATACGTACAGTACTTACAAATATATATATATATATATACATACATCGTATGTAAATAATTCTCTCTCTCTCTCTCTACATATATATATATATATGGAGAGAATGTAGATACATGTGTACATGTATTGGTGAGAGCTTTTTAAATCGCGCAGCCACCGCGTGCGTTTGGCGGAATCGCTCCCCTTTGTCCTTGTTTTGTCCGGTTGGTTTGAGTAGGCTTGTGTTTGCTTCAGTTTGCAGCCGGGAGGCAGACTAGAAACATGGGCCAGCTTCACCAGTTGCACAACGAAACAAGCAAATCTTTGTTTCAAGGATGCCAGAGTTTGTTTCTGGGCCAGAAGGCTTCGGCGTGCTTTCCAAAGCACGATGCTTGATGCTTTGCACCCCAAAATCCACGACCTCGGGGGGAAATGGGATAAACACATAATTTTTGCATGGGTAGATACACCATTTCCTCAAGGGTAGGGTCTGCGGTGGGAGTGCAGTCTCGAAAACCAAAGGAGAACCAGTAGCAGTGGCAGGGGTAGCGGACATCAGCCAGATTGGACTCGGCGTGTTTTTGAGTCTAGCCCTTTCTCTGAAGACTTTCTCACTGCCTGAGTTCCTGCAATTTCCTGGGAAGAGGATTTGTTCGCGGCATGTTGGACATGGCGAATTCCTGCCAGGCTTGGATTTGGGGACATGGAGTCTCTTGCGCTGCATGGTTGCACTCGCAGGGCGATGAATTTGGAGTGAGTTGGACCCGTAGGCGGCGTTTTCCCGAGCCCAAACCAACGCACGTGCGGGGTTTCCCTCTTTGGGTCGGAGGGAACCCAAAGCCATTTCGGCGCTCCCGGGGTTCGGAAGGGGAACAGTGGGAAAACCGGGGGCTTGAGGTGAATCCATGGATGATCATTGGAGCTGCCTTCCAAGTGGTTAGGTGGTTTGATGCAAGAATTCATTCGGGTGTGTTTCTAAATAGGAGAACCCTGCTTGTTTTGAAAGGAAGCCAACCCGATGGAAGCGAAAGGCGGTCCCTCTTGATGGGCTTGGCATTTGCGCTGCTGATTATTATTACTTTTTTTGGGGGGGTGGAAACTCGAGTTAGAGCCCTGTAAAACCAAAAGGGGTCCATTTTTCGTATGTGCCCTGCTTCAGGCGCGAGGGTTGCGGTATGTGGAACGTGACCGAAATGATTTTGCTCCAATGCCGGGCTTCTTTTTTCTTTTGGTGAAACCGGCTGCAACAATTGGATGCTCCTTTCACGCACTACTGGGAGGAAGTGAAAGTGCCTAAGGTCTCATCATGCGCTTGGTGCGCTTTAACCCCGCGTCAATTTGCGAAGGAAGCATGTGTGCTGCATATGTATATAGCCAAGCTCCGTCCCTAGCTTCTTGCAAGAACTTGCTAACTTTGCAAGCTTGGTTGTCCAAGTTGCCCGGACTCGTGCTATATTTGCAGTACACCCCAATTGTTTGGGCAGGATTGGTTGGGCGGGATGAAACATAATATTTGACTGCAGCCAAACCCATTTTCGTAGCCTTCGAATTGTCCAGCGGTCCTTTTCTAGGATTGGCCATCGATGACATGCAAGATGCTTTCCGGATGATGACTGTCGTGCTTAAGCAAGTAGCAGACATGCAATGTATTGCACTTGTTTTGATTACAGTCCCAACCGGGAAAAAAAGAAGTTGCGGCAGCCAGTTTCATTCCTTACATGGATTTGGGTGGACCACTTCAATGCCAGGTTTGGATGATGACTCACCTGACCCTGTGCCAAACCCGGGTTTACAATCCGGAAAGACCACGAAACGGCGAAGACCGCGACTGACACTGGCTTGGATGCGTTAGATCAGCTGTCATCAATCGTTTTGTATGCGTCAAAGCTTTTTTTTTGGACTGGGTGTAGAGGGTGTTAAGATGAGTCCATTGGAGGACTGGATTTCCCATTCGGAGCAGGTCCCTTTGAGCGACCTCGAAAGTCCAGGTGCGTGCGAGACGGCGCAGAATGCCGTCTTTGTCTTGGCCCAGCAGCCCAGGGAGAATCTTCAGTCAATGGGCAGAGGAAGCGAAATTTCGGGCTCCTTCCTGCGACCAAAGACAGATAGAATAACTGTCCTTGGCAAAGGCCTCACCCCAGTTCGTTTTCCCCATTGCATTCCTCTTGAATTTGTTTTGTTATCGGAGGTTGCAGGGGGCAACTCGAAGGTCTTGGCTTTCGACTGACATCACCTGTGCGAGTTTCTATGTGAACTTCCCTAATGATGTCGAGGGAGGGCGCTGCAAGTTCCAAAACTCCAAAGGAAGTTCATGCATGCGCATTTTGGAGGTCATTGGGTGGAATCCCTACCCGAGTTCGCCCGCTTTTCAACCTGGAAGATTGTGTTGGTCATGGCTCGCGGGTGCAACCCTTTTCAAGCCATGACCTCACGTTTCAAGAATTGAGACTAAAGTATGACTTGTGTGTGCCCCCTTTCTGCACGAGCCAGGGCTTCTTGAGCGAATCCTGTTCTCGCCTCAAGAAAACCGATGGGCTGCATGTAAACCGGGGTGTGATTCTGTGAAGGAGGGTCCAATTGGTGTCTTTTGGGTTTCCTTGGAAATTCCAAAAGGGTCCTGTGTCCAAACGGACACATGGTCAACGAAAGGGTTTCTGACTTCATCGGACTCCCGGGCACCCTCCCACAATACACACACGCACACGCACGCACGCGCACAGACAAGCACAAGACACAGGCACACGCAGACACACACAGACACACAGACATGCACACACACAGACAGATTGACGCACGGAGGCACACACACACACACACAGACACATACCCACGCAGACACGCGCGGACACACGGAGACACACAGAGACACACCGAGACAAACAGAGACACACAGAGACACACGGAGACAGACGGAGACACACAGAGACACACGGAGACACACAGAGACACACAGAGACACACGGAGACACACGGAGACACACAGAGACACACGGAGACACACGGGGACACACAGAGACACACAGTGACACACAAAGACACACAGAGACACACAGAGACACACAGAGACACACAGAGACACACAGAGACACACAGAGACACACAGAGACACACAGAGACACACAGAGACACACAGAGACACACAGACACACAGAGACACACAGAGACACACAGAGACACACAGAGACACACAGAGACACACAGAGACACACAGAGACACACAGAGACACACAGAGACACACAGAGACACACAGACACACAGAGACACACAGAGACACACAGAGACACACAGAGACACACAGAGAGACACACAGAGACACACAGAGACACACAGAGACACACAGAGACACACAGAGACACACAGAGACACACAGAGACACACAGAGACACACAGAGACACACAGAGACACACAGAGACACAGAGACACACAGAGACACAGAGACACACAGAGACACACAGAGACACACAGAGACACACAGAGACACACAGAGACACACAGAGACACACAGAGACACACAGAGACACACAGAGACACACAGAGACACACAGAGACACACAGAGACACACAGAGACACACAGAGACACACAGAGACACACAGAGACACACAGAGACACACAGAGACACACAGAGACACACAGAGACACACAGAGACACACAGAGACACACAGAGACACACAGAGACACACAGAGACACACAGAGACACACAGAGACACACAGAGACACACAGAGACACACAGAGACACACAGAGACACACAGAGACACACAGAGACACACAGAGACACACAGAGACACACAGAGACACACAGAGACACACAGAGACACACAGAGACACACAGAGACACACAGAGACACACAGAGACACACAGAGACACACAGAGACACACAGAGACACACAGAGACACACAGAGACACAGACACACAGAGACACACAGAGACACACAGAGACACACAGAGACACACAGAGACACACAGAGACACACAGAGACACACAGAGACACACAGAGACACACACAGACACACAGAGACACACACAGACACACACAGACACACACAGACACACACAGACACACACAGACACACACAGACACATCTTTGCATCTTGAAAGGGAGCCACTGCGCAGTGCCGTGCAGAGGGAAGGGGCAATGAGAACGTCCCACGCGTGAGGTCAAGCCGACGGGGGTGAGATT